AAAAAAAAAAAAAGAATGAATGAAGATAAATACATTCAGAAAAAAAATCAGACGATTGCTCCATCGAAATATTAAGCAATAATAATAATACAAAGAAAATAACATTCACATTATCAAATAAAAGTATGTCTATTACAGAAAGCTTTGACTCTGAGGTTCCGTATGGAGTCATCAGTTAACTTCTTATTTTTTTTCATTCTTTTTGTTTTTTTATTTTTTTCCAAAGTTGCAAAAAATGAACAACTAACATTTAAAAATAAAAGTAAAAGATAACCTCAAAATATTATTATTTTTTTTGAGACAGAGTTTCACTTTGTCACTCTGGGTAGAGTGCCCTGGCATCATAGCTCACAGCAACCTCAAACTCTTAGGCTCAAGCAGTCCTCTTGCCTCAGCCTCCCTAGTACCTGGGACTACAGGCACCCACCACAATGACCAGCTATTTTTTAGAGCCAGTGTCTCACTCTTGCTCAGGCTGGTCTCCAACCTGTGAGCTTAGGGCAATTTCCCCTTCTCAGCCTCCCAGAGTGCTAGGGTTATAGGTGTGAGCCACCTCATCTGATCTTAAAGAGTTTATTTTTTTCCAAGTATCTAGCAAAATGCCAGGGTACATTAGGTTAGATTAGGCTATGCTATAGTAAAGAATAAACCACGAAAACTTAGTGGGTTAACACAAAAATATCTTTTTCTTACTCATACAAAATTAGCTGATCCAGGCAGCGCCTGTGGCTCAAAGGAGTAGGGCGCCGGCCCCACATACCGGAGGTGGCAGGTTCAAACCCCGCCCAGCCAAAAACTGCAAAAAATAAAAAACAAAATTAGCTGATCCTCTCCAAAAGGCGAGCTGGGGTCTAAGCTGCCTCTACCATACAGCGCTGCCTTCTGGGGGACTGGAGGGTTGCAGCAGATGAGGAAACAAAAATGGAAGGTCGCATACCACCTCTTAGATTCCTAAGCCAGAATCACACACGTCCCTCCCACTCTCAGCCCTGGGCCGCAGCTCGATAACCCAGCCTGTCTTTAAGCACCTGGGAAACGCTGGGGAGCACAGGGGAGCAGTAAATGCCTCTGCCACCCTGAGAAGAGTGTGTGTCACTAAACCTTGTTGGAGAAATGAATGAGTCAATTTGACACAGGGTTTAAATAACACTGTGACAGAATGACTCAGATCCCACAGCAACTTTCAAGGCCCTGAGCATCAGGTGAGGTGCACATGTCACCAACAGGAGAAATGAAGAGGCACCTACTGAGAAGGGACCTGCCTTTTATTGACAATCTAGGCCATAAAAGTCACTGTTCTAGAAACTACAAGCACCATACTGTTTAGTCTTCATGACGGCCCTAGGGCAAAGATGTTAATATTCTGTTCTCACAAATACATTTTGTTGGGAGCCATGAGGAGCAAGTGGCAGAGCTGAGATCTGAGCCCACGTGTGCCAAACACCAAAGCCCACGAGAGCAGATCTCTGCTCCACTGACTCCCTTGGCCGTGAGTGCCTTATAGCAGCAGAAGCAATGGCCTTCAGAAAGCAATGTGGGGTAAGTGACCAGGGAGAGGTTGGGAGGAAGGCAAAGACTGACCACGCTGCACTCCACAGCTGGGCTCCCCAGCTCCCACTGCTCTGCCCCCCTCCTCGCTCTCCCACTACCACCCACAGATAGATATAGCTATCCGAGGCCTGCGGTCAGCAGAGAGCACAGGAGAGGTCAGCACCTGTTCTGGACCTGTGAGGAGTTCTGGCATCTCTTTAGCATATTCTCCGTAGTATCCTGGCCAAGCTCATTTTGTGCAGCTCTCTGACCCTCCAGGACAGAGACCCAAATGTCCTCTCCCTCCCACTAACATTCTGTACTGGCTGAAGAGCATTAGAAACAAGCTGGAAGGATTCCAGGTTGGGCTTTGCTATTCCTGTGGGTTAGCTTGGATAATTAACTTTGGATTCTCTAGGTTTTAAGTTTTAATTTTTTCAGCTATAAAGTGGGACCCTCGCACATCCGCTCTGATGGCCCTGGTCTTACGGGGTTATCATGAGCATCAAAGGGAATAATGTATGGAAGAGTGCTCTGTAGATTAAGATGGTTGTAAATGTAAGAGATTATTTTTTAATGACTGGCTAAATAATGAAAGGGTTTCTTTTTTTAACTTCCTGATTAATAGAGTTATGATTTTCCTGAGGAAAGGGAGTAGAGCGGCCTATGCCCGTGACATTTTAAACCTCTAAGATTTTTGCTGACCCTGCCATTCCATAAACCACATTTGGAGACACACAGTTTCTTCTTGCCATGGTGCGTGAGACCCAGGCCATCAGAGTCAGACACATTACTAGGCGTGCTCTCAAAGAAAGTATTTAACCTCTTTTTTTTTTTTAATGTCAGTAGAGTGCCTTGGCATCACAGCTCACAGCAACTTCAAACTGTTGGGCTCAAATGATCCTCTTGCCTCAAACTCCCAAGTAGCTAGGACTTTGAGGCGCCACAATACCTGACTATTTTTTAGAGATGGGGTCTTGCTCTGGCTCAGGCTCGTCTTGAACTCGTGAGGTCAGGATGAACTCACGAGCTCAGGCAATCCACCTGCCTTGGCCTCCCAAGTGCTGGTATTTTAACCTCTTGAGCTTCAGATTTCTCATCTGTGAAATGGGAAGAACAGTATTTGCACTGGGACCACCCTAAGGATTAAAGCTCAAGTGCACATAAAGCGATTTACCAGTGCACAGGACATCCTGTGCTACCATTGCACTGTCATTATTCATATTAAGGAACCATCATGTTGTCCCCAACACTCTGCATTATAAATTGTTCCATGATTCACTAGAATAAGAAAATCCGTAATCATCAAAAACACTATGTGAACATTTGGATCAGTGTCTCCCAGGATCCCCTAAACTGTCTCTCGCATCCTATAGAAAGGCACACAGTTTACACCATGGCTGGGCTCCAAATCCCTGCATGGAAAGCATTTGTTTGGAACTCAGAACATACTTTCCCAGAGAAAGAATGCTATTAAAACAGTGGTTGGGTTCCCAGGTGACTGAAAACACCCACTGGATTCCCAAAGTAGCAGAAAATCGGTCTATTTGCAATGTAAATGACCGAGAGGCGACGTTGTTATATTGCTAGCCATTAACCCAAACTGAAAACTAGGAAAGCTGGGTAATAATTTCTTTAATCTCTCACGACTGCCTGTGATGAAGAAAAAGCGGGCTTAATTAGAGAGAGAGTTCCTGGTAATTTAAGTAAGAAATCTTCAGGTGCCTTTAGGGCACTTTCAAAGGCTTTTGAAGTTCTTCGCTAGGTCTGACGATGCTTCAGATGGCTTCACTCTTTTGTTTTGACCCAAGGGTCTAGGTAGCACTGATTTCATTCTCCACTATGGAGTTATTTAGGTTCTATCCTAGGTTCTTACTAGGGTAAGAGAAGAAAGGGTGAGAAGGATTTCCCTGAGAAAATTATTCAGTAATTTGGAGAAATTGAGAAAAGAGAAAGAGGTATATATATGTAACAAGACAGACTTGGATTACCTGGCCTGTGAGCAAGAAACTCGGGCTGCGTGAGAACCTATCCCCTCTGGCAAAAGGGAAATCATGACCAACTGGACAAATCGTTCCCGCTGAAGCCATAAGGCAGAGCCACAGGGCAGGGACAGCTTGTG